TGGTGCCCGGCCGGCACTCCAGAGGTTGCAGGAAGGGTGTCTGTTGTGGCCTCCCCGTAATCCCAGTGACTGCTGCCGTCTCTTTGCTCATTTTACTTAATTTTGAATTCAAACCTGAGTATGTCGCTCCAGTGTCCACCAAGAAATCAATGAGACGATCCCCCACAGCGAGGGTTACCCGGGGCTCTGAGGGGGTTATTCTAATGGGCTGTCTAGATCTAGTGGAGCCCCCGGGCACCCCTATTCTGCATCTGAACCTTCTCCATGAACTATCATTTGTCTCCTTCCCTCCACACTTGGCTCCAGATTCCTTCTACTCTGTCTATATTCCCTCCTATCTTCACCTGAGACCCTACTCTGTGCTATCACTGGTCTCCTGTCCTCTGTGCTGGGCTCTCGATTCCTTCTCCGTCCATATTCCCTGTCGTCATCTGAGCCTCCACTCTGTGCTAACATCTGTCTTCCTTCCTATCTCCTTGGCTCCTGGTCCCGTGTGCTCCTCCTGTATCCCCTCCTGTAACCCCTGTGTGAATCATCCCGTCGTGGAGTCCTCTGTCTTCTCTGCTGCCTTCTGTAATTACTGCATCTGCCGCTGCCCTGTAACCTGGGACAACTGTCCTTCCCATGTCCCTCTTCCCTACAGAAAGCACACTGGTCTCTTCCTAGGGGTTCACGTCTCTGTCCATTACTGTTGTCCTGAAACCCTGTTCTGTGCTCTCTGTGTACAAAAACAGTCGCAGGTTTCGGTCTCCTGTCCTCTCTCCTGTCCTCTCTATTATTATAAACCTTAAATGCTAAGTCCACTACCTGGGACGGACTCATCTCTGTGACGCCGTCTACCTTTGCTAACTTTCTCCTTCTGTCTGGAGCACTATTTGTGATGAACGCCATAGTGATCAGACGAGCATTTTCTGGGGCATCTGGATTTATATCCGTGTGGTCTGTATACGTCTGAATAATCCTCTCAAGGAACTCTGATGGATCCTCATCAGCCCCTTGTGTAAGTTCCAATATTTTGTTAAAATTTTTTTGTTTGGGGATTCCCTGCTCCAGTCCTACCAATAAACATTTTTTATACAGCTTCAACTGCGCCATTCCTCCATTGTTGGGGTCCCATCCAGGATCTTCCTCAGGGACAGCCATCTCTGGCTCTGGGGATTGGCTGTCCTGTTGGCGGAGACGGTCAACCTCCTCCCTGGCTTTCCTCATTACTCAGCACCTGGGCCTGGGTCCCAGCAAGTAACAGAGGCTCAGTGTGACCCGCTCTGTCCCCTAATAAGGGACCTGCTCCTCGTGTGTCATGACCCCACGTCCCAGGACCCTCCCGGCTCCTCTGCCCAGACCCAGCCAGAGCTGCTATATAGCAGGACACATGCAAATAGGGCGTCCCCTGCTGCTGAAAACCAGCCCGGCTGGCCCTGCAGCCACACAGGAGCCCAGCCTGCACCCAGGGTCCACGCGGGTCAGCACGGACGCGGACACTCGCCATGGAGCGTGGGCTGAGCTGGCTGCTGCTCGTGGCGCTTCTAGGGGGTGATTCCTGGGGGCAGGATCCCTGAGGGGGCTGCAGGAGGGGGAAGCAGTGGGCGAGAGCCATGTCCTGACGGGCTGTGTCTGTGTTTGCAGGTGTCCAGGGTGAGGCGCAGCTGGTGGAGTCTGGGGGAGACTTGGTGCCACCAGGGGGGTCCCTCAGACTCTCCTGTGCAGCCTCCGGATTCACCTTAAATAGTTATGCAATGGACTGGGTCTGCCAGGCTCCAGGAAGGGGCTTGAATGGGTTGCAGCAATTATTCCTACTGGTAGCACAGACTACGCTGACTCCGTGAAGGGCCGATTCACCGTCTCCAGCGACAACGCCAAGAACTCGCTGTATCTGCAAATGAGCAGCCTGAGGCCCGAGGACACGGCCGTGTATTTCTGTGCAAGAGACACAGTGAGGGGAGCGGGTGTGAGCCCAGACACAAACCCTGCAGGACGGGGGGCGGGCTGGGGGTCCACTGGGGCGTGTCAGGACCCCAGGGGCCCAGGGACACCGGAAGGCCCAGGAGGCTCAGAGCTCAGAGCACAGCCCGGGAGCAGGTGCAGGGGTGGGGGCAGGGGCTTCCTGTCTGGGGCTCCCTCTGCGAGACCCCAGCTCCCCAGGGCACCATTGCTCTCCTCTGAGTGGCTCCCGAACCCAATATTCCTGGGGAGCCCCAAGGAGGAGGTGACTCTGTCTGTGCACAGGTGAGACCTCCCCAGGGACGAGACCCTCACCTGTGCAGGTGTCTGTTACTTACTATTACTGGGGGGACCCGGGGAGGGCGGGTGTTGCCCAGACACAGACCCTGCAGGACAGGAGGGGGCAGCACCCAGGCCCACCACCAGGGGGCGCTCCGAGCTCACAGCCCTGGACTCAGCTCATGGCTGTGGGGGGACATGGACAGGGACGTGACCTCCATCCTGGACCTGCCCTCCAGGCCAACCCCTGCCCTCTCCTAGTGGGTGTCCATCCCTCTGTCCTCTTCGGGTCCAGCCTGGGGTCACTCCCCCAGTGCAATTTGTTGATAACCTCTGTGCCTTTGTATTGAGTCAGAACCACTGATTGTTCTGATCCAAGACCCAGTAGGATCAGATCACCGTGATGTCCACACCCCTGTCACCAGTCCCACGGCCCCTAAGACGGCCATTGGGGACTCCTGATCAAGGCTCCTGGATCCAGGCCCTAGGAGCTGAGCCCTGAACCGTGTTTGGATGGAACCTGGCAGCGGGCCGGGACAGGGTGCTAAGGACTCTGCGTGTGTCTCTGTCCTTGCCGGACCCGACTCCTTGTCTGAAAGGCCCCTGGTCAGCTCTGGGGGTCCCGGGTCTCCTGGACTGACCTCTGGTGTCTGTGACGGGGGCACCCGCCACGAAGGCTCTCGGGTGGACCCTTCTCTGCAGAGTCTCCCGGGTTCCAGGACTGTTGCTGCTCAGTGTCTTGTGTGTTTCTCGCTGAACCTCATTGAAATTGGGGCCTTTCTGTGACACAGGCCGTGTGTTTCCAGGGACGCGGCGGGTCTGTGGCTGTTCGGGGCCGTGGCCACCGCCCAGAGCTCGCTCCCGGCGGAAGTCAGGAGGTGTCCAGCTATCGTCTCCTCTGCGTGACGCGTCACGTCTCCTCCTTTCTCTCAAGGCTGTTTCCCTCTCCAAGGCCTTGGGGATCCGTGTAAACATGGTAACTGTGGTTTCTCTTTCCTGCACCCCCTCATCTGCATTTGTGGGTCTTGCCTCACGTCCACGCGTGGCTTTGGGACAGGCCCTGCTGGACGGCACCCTCCCCCAGGCGCGCAGGGTCCTCCCTCTTCCGGGGCCTCTTTCATGTCCACGGACCGAGCCCCACATGGTCCCCGGACCGTCCTCCTCCCTCTGACGTCATCCAGGACCCGTCTGTGAGGGCGTGACCGGGACTGGCCCCAGGCCCTTCTCCTGCCGTGGTGACGCCAGAGTCACCCCTGAGAGTGTGTGTTGGATCCTCTGCTGCCCCGACGGGCCCAGTTGTTATCTTGAGACAGTTTCGTTCCTGGAGTCTCTGGTGTCCCTCAGTGTCCTCGTGTCCTCTTCAGACGGGGAGAGGCACGTGTCCTCTTCCTCCGGGTCCTGCTGGGCTTCTCCCTCCCTGACCGCCTGGGCTGGACGTCGGGCGGGGACGAGCCACAGAGGGGGTCGTGGCTCCTTCCTGCTCCGGGCCGTGGCGGGACCGTGTCAGCGTCTCACCCGAGTGTCCTGTGGGCTGAGGGGTGGACACGCGGTGTCCATCGTGTTTCCCTACGTTGCATTTGTCCGCATTTTGTGGGATCACCCGCCCCAACTCTTCATCGTGTGGTCCCTGATCGAGCTGCTCGTCTCCGGGCCCATCTCTGCCCCTCGTGCTCGAAACGGGTCCCCCCGAGACTCTCCACACTTGGAACCGCAGGGCCCGAGGAGACGCCCCCGTCCCGGGACACCCGCTGCGGGGCCGCGAGCTGCGGCCCCGAACCCGCTTCTCCGCGTCTCAGCACAGACTCGGCTCCTCCCGGGGTGACGGCAGAGCCGGGAACGCAGCTCGTGTCCCCCCCGCCCCCCGAGGCCTCACGGTGCATAAGGACGAACGGGGGACCCGGCGTCCGCCAGGCTCGGCCTCTCCCGCCCGCAGAGAGTTTGCTTCCTCCTCTGCCGTCTCCGAGACCAGCCCGAGCGGACCCCACGACGCCGGGGGACGGGGTCAGCGGCAGAGCTGGTGCCCGCAGCGCCCCGGGGTCCCGGCCTGCCTGCCGCGCGGGGTCCTCACGCTGAGGAGAGCCAGGAGGGCGCAGGCAGCACCTCCGGGCCCGGGCTCGGGGTGAAGGCACGTCTTGGGCCCTCGGGGCCTCTTCACCCCTTTCTTGCCATTTACGGGGTTCAGGGAGGAGGGTGCGGGGCCGGGGGGCTGACAGGGCCCCAGCCCCGGGCGTCTTCACGCTCTCTGGGCTCCCCGTGTTGTCCTGGCCTCGGCGCCCTGCTGGGTCTCTCGTCTGTCTCCTCCCTGGGTCCCTCCTTCCCGCGGCTCTTTCTTGGGGCGGCCTGTTGGGGACGGCCACCCTGCGCAGTGAGCAGAAGGGTCTTGACCCGAGTCCCTAAGGCATGTGAAACACATGCGTCTCGGAGGAAACCTCTGGGTGACAGGACTTGGTGTTGAGAGCCTGGAAAGTGACCTGCGTGGAGTCGGGCTTCTACATCTCCACAGTCTGAGAATAACAAAATGGAGAGATGCTGCGCAGTGAGCAGAAGGGCCTTGATCTGAGTCCCTAAGGCATGTGAAAACACATGCGTCTCGGAGGAAAACCTCTGGGTGACAGGACTTGCTGTTGAGAGCCTGGAAGGGACCTGCGTACATCTCCACAGACTGACAACAACAAAGTAATGAGCGAACTTCCCAGGCTCAGGCTAGGAGGCGATAAGATCATGTGTGTGAGAACGAACCGCCCGGTACCCTGCTGTCTGAAGTGAATAGATACTAGTAAGAGAACAGACTCATCACTCGTGCATGTTCTCATTATGTGGTATGCTTTGATGTTACACCTGCTGCAATTAAAATAGTATATAACGAGCACTAAGACAATAAAGATTTGCTGCAGGCGGGACATGACAGTCCCCCATGTCTGATTTCCCTCACCGTCGCGTTCCAGGTTGGACTCACTAGAAGTCCACAAGCGGCGCCCGAATACACGGACCTGAAGCTGATACCTCCCACCCAGAGGGACGAGGTGACGGCAGCGGCGGGTGACAGTTTGCAGAAGGTGGTGCGTAAACAAGGGGAAACTAACAGAATGGGGTATTCTTCTTCTCGTCTTCCTACTTTTGCTTCTCTGTTGAAACATCTATTGCCTGAACATGGGCAAAAGTCCCGCTCTCTCAAATTCTTGAATGTTTGAATGTTGTGACTGAATTTAATCTTTGGTTTCCTGATACTGGTACTTTTGATATTGAAACAAGGGACCAGGTCCAAGAGACAATGGTCCGGAAACATAAGCAGGGGGAGCAGATCCCTGTAAAGTTTCGGTCCACGGGGGCTATACTTAGAGTAGCTATGTTAGCTGTCGACGGAAACATCCGTCCTGACGCAGCCGTTTTGGTTCAAACGGCGCAGCAATCTTTACACAAGCATGAACTGGATGATGACACTGGCTAAGGCAGCTCAAGCTGTTCAGCAATCTCTAGAAGACTGTGATGACGATGTTCCTTTGCAAGACTCCAATAAGGGTGACCAAGGGGCTCAGCCTTTTGTTGTGGCTCGTGTTAATAATTTTGCCAAACCTTTCTCGAATGTGACGCCAGAGGAGCGCTGTGCCATGTTGCAGTCTCCCTTTAAACAGGGGCGTAGACAGAGCTCAAGACTTAAACCAGCTGCAGAGAAGTTAGGAGAGTTTACTTTAGGGGGTTCAACTTCTCATGGACTTCAAATCAGGTCTCCCGTCCCTCTTCATGAGGAGAAGGAAATGAAAACAACAAGATCTCATGAAATTCGGCCTGAGGATGTGTCTTTACCTGACACTGGGGAGGAGGCTAGGTTCCCCCCACTAGAGTTTTGCCATTTGTTCCTTTTAAGAAAAAATAAAAAGAAAAAAGGTATTTCTAAATAACAGTATTCAAAGTCCATTCACAATTGTTAAAGGGAAAGAAAATGGTTAAATTTGACTATATGAGACTATATGACTATACTATGACTAAAAGGTTTTTGTTAAAATAGTACAAACCCACTGCAGGGGACAGGTGGGGGCGGCCCCTGCTCAGCAAGCAGCTGCCTGGATTTTTTTTTTTCCAGGGTTGGGATCACTGGCAGGTCTCTACTGCCTTCCCGTTGTGGGGGACTGGACTCTCCTTTTGTCCACCTTAACAAACTATTTTGGTTCATTCTAGGAAAAAAGTTCTATTTCCCTGGGTGTTTCTCATTTCAAAGTCTACATTGTTTAAGGTAAAAACTGTGGAGTAACTTTGGACTTGCAAACAAACTATACAAAATGTTTACTGGTGAAATAAAAGCTTTTAAATTTACTTGTTAGACCTATAAAAGGTTAAGTTTCTTGTTAAAACTAATTAACCTGGTAAAATATACAGTATTAATACAGACATTTTTGAGCTAAATTCTAAACCTCAAATTTTGATAAAAGCCTACAAACAGGCAGACTCTAAAAATTTACCTCTTCTCCTGTTCTCAAGATAACAGTGTTCTTTCATGTTTTAAAATATGCCCGTTCCCAGTGAGATAATGTGTTAACAACCTAAAGCCAAAAAAATCATTTCTTAAAAATATGAACTCCCAAAATATTTTCTTATCAAAAAAGTTAGTAAAAACTGCCATGACTGCTGTGGTCTCGAGCCCAAGGTCTTTGGTAATAATTAAGATTAGACATTTATTCTGTGTGCAAATTTTAGCTTTTAACTCATTAAAAACCTCAATATCTTCACACATATTGGTAAAATAACTATGTTTTAAAATATATACATATGGCCAAAATTTTATATGCATATCAAGAGATCTCTGTGTCTGTTTGTGTCTGTCTTCGTGTTTTTGTTTTGTTTTGTTCTTTACCTCCGGAGGACTAATCATAAACGGCGCCTATATAAGTTCTCATAAAAACAAATTTGAAAATCATGATCCAAATTTTTAATGTACAAAATTAGTTCAAATTTTATAATATAATACAAGTCATATATGCCTTAAAGTTATAATGTTAAATATTAATAATAATCTACTCTTTTTAAATGTATCTTTAAAGTATTTTTCTTTTCTTGACTAAATATATATATATATATACTTATAATTTTTTTGTCATATTAACTTTGCCAAGTGAAACTCAGCTATACTGTTTTTAAGCCAATTTTAAAAATCTGCAATGTTTAAAGCAGCATTTTGGGGTCAGGAACACACAAAGCACCTTCTTGTGTTCTGAACTACTGAAAAGAAACCACCATCATAATTTGTTGAATGTGGAAAAACAGAAAAAGCTAAAATTGAGGGTATGTAGTGAGTGGTAGAAGGTTTGAGGGGAAGTGAATTTTATTTGCCTTGGTTTATAAAACCCAAATAATGGGTTGAAGAGAAACAATGATATGTGTTGAAAATTTAACTGTATTGCATTATTTGATCAATGTATTCATTGGATGGAAAAAAGACTAAGTATTACTGAAGCCTGCTTTCATGTGGCCACACAGGCCATTTCAGTAAATTCCCCTCGGAAATTAGAAATTGCTTCTAGAGAAACTAATTCTAATGCTGCAGCTCCTCCTAAAACCTTATGTTCCCAGCTTTAAAAAATTAAGTTATGTACATGTCTCTGCAGACACCTTTTCTCATTTGGTTATGGCTATAGCTAGAACCGGAAAAGCCTTTAAAAATGTGTCTCAACATTTTATGTTTTGCTTTGCTTGTGCAGAAAAGCCTAAACTATTAAGACAAATAATGCACCTGCTTACACCTCCTTTGCCTTCAAAAAATTTTTAATTCATTTAACTTGTGGAAGAGGCTATGCTTGTATTTTTCTACAGGACACTGTTCGATGTGCCTTTAAGGTGCCCTCTTTAAATAATGAACAGCCTGCCCAGCGATATCAATGGAAGGTGCTGCCTCAGGGCAAGGCAAATTCTCCTACTATGTGTCAGTTTTATGCTGACAAGGCTCTACTTAGTTCACGGCAGCGATTTCCAGATGCTCACATTTTACATTATATGGATGATATTTTAATAGCTGCTGACAGCAACTCTGTCCTTTCTCAAGTTGTACAGTTTTTATTAATGGAACTTCCAAAGTTTGGTCTTTTAATAGCTCCCGAGAAAATTCAAACCTTATCACCTTTCAAATATCTCAGTAGCCTTGTTGGCCGGCACACCGTGCGACCTCAATGCATGAAACTGCAACAAAAGCATTTAAAGACCTTAAATGATTTTCAAAAGTTACTTGGAGACATTAACTGGTTACGCCCTACATTGGGCATTCCTAATTATGCTTTAACCCATCTTTTTCAAGCGCTAGAGGGTGATTCGGATTTACAAAGCCCTAGGCATTTAACCCCTGAGGCCCAAGCACAACTCTCTTTTGTGGAGCAACAAATTAAAAAACAGTTTGTTTATCGATACCAGCCTGATTTGCCACTTAATTTACTGATCTTTGGCACTCCTCAAAGTCCTACAGCAATAATTGCACAACAGGACAAGCCACTAGAATGGATATATATTAAAAATTCAAATTCTCAAACTGTAACTCCATATATGAACTCATTGCTGAAATTATTGTTAAAGGAAGGCTCCGTGTTAAATCTATATGGGGCTTTGACCCCTCTGTTATTATTTTGCCATTTTCTTCCTCTTGGTTTCAACACATTTTTCCCTTGTCAGATACACTGCAGCTTGCCTTGGCCGATTATCCTAATGACATTGGATGTCACTACCCTGCTGGAAAGTTATGGGATTTTCTCAAGTCTACAAAATGGATAATTTCTGATACTGTTGTTCTTGAGCCTATACCTGGAGCTCCTGTTTATTTTGTAGATGGCTCTTCTTCCGGTATTGCAGCTGCTGTGGGACCACAAATTCAATTTTCAGTCCACACCCCTTATTCATCGGCTCAACAAGTTGAATTAATTGCTATATTTCATCTTTTGCAGCAACTGCCTCCTGGCCCAGCTAACATTATTACTGACTCTTTATATGTTGCCCAATTGGTTCCTCGTCTTGTTACAGGTACTTTACATTCTAAACACCCTGTTCTTGCCTCCTTGTTACAGCAGCTTCGATCAGCGCTGCAATCTTATGATTATCCTCTCCATATTGCACATATTCGTGCACATTCTGGCCTCCCTGGACCTCTGTCTCGAGGCAACGAAACAGCTAATGCATTAACCACACAAATTTTTCCGGTGTTTTCTTCCCCAGAAGAAGAGCATGCTGTTCTACACTCCAGTGCTTTTCAGTTACATTCTGCCTATCATATTCCTTTACATCAAGCTCGTTGTATCCTCCAGAGATGTTCTGCCTGCGCACCATATCTATGCCGGACCTCTCCAGCTGGCAGTAACCCACGCGGTTCTTGCCCTAATCAGATCTGGCAGATGGATGTCACCCATTTCCCTGCTTTTCGCCCTTTATCGTATTTACATGTTACTATTGATACCTTTTCAGGGTTTTTGTGGGCAACAGCCCAGTCAGGGGAAGTCTTTGTTCATGTTCAAACTCATTTATTTTCTTGCTTTGCTGTTATGGGCCTTCCCACGGAACTCAGAACAGACCACAGGGGGACCCCGTAACACGCAGCAGTAAGCATTTTGCTACTCAATCAGCACGCAGTGCGCAAGAACCAGTATGGGTGAAAACCCCAGGAATAAATGAGTGGGAGGCGGGGGTGATGATTTTAAAAGGAAAAGGCTATGCTTCTGTCATTTTAGATGGATCCTGTGAAACAAGTTGGACACCTCTTCAGCTTGTCCGGCCCCGGATCCCGGCCATTCAAGAGACCACCTCAGACTCTGGACGACAATACCATGAGGGACCCTCCGGCCACTTCTCAGCCACTACAATGGGAGACACAGAAGCCATTGATCCAAGGCATGGCCCGTCTGTCAATGAAAAGAAAAAGGAAGGCCACCAATAGTCCCGTTGCACCCATTACATGGGGTAGTGTCAAGGCACTGAGCAATCACGGTGAACAAGTTCTCCGCAACCAGGGAGCTCCAATTAACCCGGAAAATATGTTCCTTGCTATGGTGGCAGTTATCACGTGCGCCTCTGCGGTAGGTGCCAACTATACATATGTATATTGGGCATACATTCCACACCCCCCATTGCTACAGGTGGTGGAATGGGGACACATTGGGCCTGTCGTCTTCACCAGTGACACTCAACACATGCCTGGTCCATGGTCAAAAGAGGGATCTTCTCATCCTGATGAGGAAGGACAGAGTTTTAATTTTACCTGAGGATATGAATATCTTCCCTTGTGTTCTGGTATGACACCTTGTATACCCATTGTCCCTCAGACCTGGGTTAATAGTGCTCCTCCCATTAAAATCAATAATCAATTTGGCTCACAAATTCGTACACTTATGGATATGTATGTTGCTCTTTCTTTTAATTTTACTGAAATAAATACAACGTCTAAGGCACGCAGCAATAAGCCAGTTTGTCAGCAAATTTCATATAAGAATTACACACATTCCCCTACTTTTTGGAGTCAGTGCCGTGGATTAAAAGGAATAGTGTTAAGATCAGGAAAGTATGTTTTTGTTGATTGGGGACCACATGGGAAGTTTTTGACTAACTGTTCTGAGGACTACAGTCCTGCAGTCTGTGATTATGTTACAAATGCAGTTTGGAACGTGTCAAAGAATGGGACTGTGAAAGATAGGAACCAATATGGACTCATGGCTTGGCATGATGGAGGCATGGCACCCCCGAGACCTCGCTTGTCGCTTGCTTCCGGACGGTGGGGACCTGAACAATGGGACTTTTGGAAGCTAATAGTCGCCACCACCCCTATGCAATTTTGGAAAGGCAGCTTCTCGGGAACATCACGTTCTGGGTCTCATTATCACTTTGTACATAACACCAGTTTCTATATACGAGCCTGTGTTCGATTCCCCTATGTAATAGCCATTGGCACTGTTTCCTTTGATGAAAAGGTTAAAGCTGTAACATGTAATGACTGCTCTTTATACTCCTGTGTTAACTCATCGGCTAAGTTTAATATTAGCCGACACTCTCTCCTTGTGTTAAAGGCTAGAACACATTTGTGGCTGCCTGTGAACCCGACCCGGCCCTGGGAGGAGTCTCCAGTGACTGGGACATTACTTAGGGTGATTGGGAAACTCCTCCGCCGCGCTGGACGTTTTGTGGGATGGCTTGTGCCTGCCACACTTGGACTGACTGCGGTCACAGCCACGGCAGCGGCTGCAGGAGCCGCACTTCACACTGCAGTACAGGCTCATGACTTTGTTGCTACCTGGTCCCATGACTCTCCACTCCTCTGGCGACAACAAGTCCGCATTGATGAAGATTTACAAGCGCGGGTGGGGAGTTACAACAGACTGTTCAATGGCTGGGTGATCAATTTGTAGCTGTGCAACAACAAATTATCTTACATTGTGATTGGAATGTTAGTACTTATTGGGTAACTCCTGTGCAATTTAATAATGTTTCTACTTCATGGTCTCAGATTCAGCATCACCTTAACTGTGTTCATGGTAATTTGTCTTTGGATGTAAAGTCTTTGCAAAATCAAGTACTTCAATACTTTTCTAAAGAATTGCCTACAAATTCTATTGATGGATTGGCTGAGGGTATTGCCAATGCTCTACAGGGCATGGACCCTCGTTCATTGGCTCAAAGTCTGACTCATAGTATTGGCAGTGGAATTATAGCGAGACTAATATGGGCTTTGTTGTTTGGAATAGGGTACTACTGCCTCCGACGACCGACAAGCCTCCGGTTCGACTCAGCTAAAATGATGCTTGAATTATTAAAGACAAAAGGGGGAGATGTTGGAGGCGGCCACCCTGCGTAGTGAGCAGAAGGGCCTTGACCCGAGTCTCTAAGGCATGTGAAAACACATGCGTCTCGGAGGAAAACCTCTGAGTGACAGGACTTGGTGTTGAGAGCCTGGAAGTGACCTGCGTACATCTCCACAGACTGACAACAACAAAGTAATGAGCGAACTTCCCAGGCTCAGGCTAGGAGGCGATGAGATCATGTGTGTGAGAACGAACCGCCCGGTACCCTGCTGTCTGAAGTGAATAGATACTACTAAGAAAACAGACTCATCACTCATGCATGTTCTCATTATGTGGTATGCTTTGATGTTACACCTGCTGCAATTAAAATAGTATATAATGAGCACTAAGACAATAAAGATTTGCTGCAGGCGGGACATGACAGTCCCCCATGTCTGATTTCCCTCACTGTTGCAGTTCAGGTTCGGACTCACTAGAAGTCCACACCCGGGCTCGTCCTTAAACACGGCTGAGAGTGTCCATCAGAGAGCAGGAGAGCCAGGGCCGCACCCGGGGCCACAGCTGCAGACACGCTCGTCCCCTGCGCGGCGGGGTCTCCTGGCCGCAGTGAGGTCATGGGCGCCCCGCGAGGACACGGGCCAGGGGGCTGTTCTGTGTTGGGGGCTCCCCTCCAGCCGCAGGGCCTGGGCACGGGCTGCGTGAACTGTGAGTATCAACAGGAGAAGAGCTGACGGATCCTCGGGTTTTTGAAAGTGAATCACGCTCTGGACAACTGTGGGCGAAGTCACAGGAACAGGCGGGGCCGGAGGGGTGACCACAGGCTGTCCGTCCGTGCTGGCCCGGAGGACAGAGGGCAGGGCCACCGCCCACCCCGTCCCCATACCAGGCGGGGCCTGTCCCTGAGAAGGGCCGTGAGGGCCAGACCGAGGCCAAGGGGCCCGCAGACTCCCCACACGCAGGGACGGGCGCCCGCTGCGAACCCTCCCTGGTCACTCCCTGGGCTGGGCCTGGGCTCTGGTCACTCAGGTCAGGTCTCGGGCGGAGCCGCGTCCAGAGAGGAGGAGCTGGTGGGTCTGGGCCTCTGCCCACGGGGCTCCCCGGGGAGGGTCAGGGCTGACCCGGGGTTGGGAGTGAAGCAGGGGCCTGACAGGTGATGCCCCTTGTCCCAGGTGTCCTGTCCCCGGTTCTGAAAAATCTCTGCTCCGCTTCTCTGCACCCGCGTGAACTGAGACCGACGACGTCTGTCTCTTCATTTCCGTGACATCCCCCACAGGGTCCTCCATGTTGCTGCACGTGCAGGATCCGTCCTTGGCTACACCTGAGCTGTCAGCACTTGTCCACACACACCTCAGTCCAGATCCATCCCCTGCCCTCGGTTCCACATCCCAGCTGTGCCAACAGGGCAGCATCAGCACAGGAGGGAAAAGGCAACAACACATGGTATTGCCCTAGTGGATATATTGAGGCTCCCAGGACAAGAGAAGGAAAATGAACATTAACAGACGGGCTACATCAAACTAATATGCTTCTGAAAATGAAAGAAACTGTCAGAAAAACAAGAGACGGGAACTGAATGGGAGAAATTATGTGACAGGACAAGTTTGACAAAGGGCAGATCCTGAACATACAAAGATCCCAGGTGAGAAGACCCCACAGAACATGTGTGAGCACCAGCACCTGGGCCTGTGTCCCAGAAGGTAACAGAGGCTCAGGGTCACCAGCTCTGTCCCTTAATAAGGGACCTGCTCATCTTGTGTCATGACCCCACGTCCCAGGACCCTCCCGGCTCCTCTGCCCAGACCCAGCCAGAGCTGCTATATAGCAGGACACATGCAAATAGGGCGTCCCCTGCTGCTGAAAACCAGCCCGGCCCGCCCTGCAGCCCGCACAGGAGTCCAGCCCTCACCCAGGGTCCCCTCGGGTCAGCTCGGACGCGGACACTCGCCATGGAGCGTGGGCTGAGCTGGCTGCTGCTCGTGGCTCTTCTAGGGGGTGATTCCTGGGGCAGGATCCCAGAGGGGGAGGCAGGAGGGGGAAGTAGTGGCAGATGCCAGTGTCCTGACGGGCTGTGTCTGTGTTTGCAGGTGTCCAGTGTGAGGAGAAGCTGGTGGAGTCTGGGGGAGATTTGGTGCCTCCTGGGGGGGCCCTCAGACTCTCCTGTGCAGCATCTGGATTCACCTTCAGCGACTACCACATGCACTGGGTCCGCCAGGCTCCAGGGAAGGGGCTTGAGTGGGTTGGAATAATTTATACTGGTGGTAGCACAAACTACGCAGACTCCGTGAAGGGCCGATTCACCGTCTCCAGAGACAACGCCAAGAACTCGCTGTATCTGCAAAAGAGCAGCCTGAGGCCCGAGGACACGGCCGTGTATTTCTGTGCGAGAGACACAGTGAGGGGAGCGGGTGTGAGCCCAGACACAAACCCTGCAGGACGGGGGCAGGGCTGGGGGTCCAGTGGGTCATGTCAGGACCCCAGGGGCCCAGGGACTCCGGGAGGCCCAGGAGGCTCAGAGCTCAGACCACAGCCCGGGAGCAGGTGCAGGGGTGGGGGGCAGGGGCTTCCTGTCTGGGGCTCCCTCTGCAAGACCCCAGCTCCCCAGGGCACCATTGCTCTCCTCTGAGAGGCTCCTGCTCCCCACATTCCTGGGGAGCCCCAAAGAGGAGGTGACTGTCTGTGCACAGGTGAGACCTCCCCAGGGACGAGACCCTCACCTGTCCAGGTGTCTGGTACTTACTATTACTGGGGGACCCGGGGAGGGGGCGGGTGTGGCCCAGACACAGACCCTGCAGGACAGGAGGGGGCAGCACCCAGGCCCACCACCAGGGGACGCTCCGAGCTCACAGCCTGGACTCAGCTCATGGCTGTGGGGGGACATGGACAGGGACGGGACCTCCAGCCTGGACCTGCCCTCCAGGCCAACCCCTGCCCTCTCCTAGTGGGTGTCCATCCCTCTGTCCTCCTCGGGTCCAGCCTGGGGTCACTCCCCCAGTGCAATTTGTTGATAACGTCTGTGCCTTTGTATTGAGTCAGAACCACTGATTGTTCTATTCCAAGACCCAGTGGGATCAGATCACCGTGATGTCCACACCCCTGTCACCAGTCCCACGGCCCCTAAGACGGCCACTGGGGACTCCTGATCAAGGCTCCTGGATCTAGGCCCTAGGAGCTGAGCCCTGAACCGTATTTGGATGGAACCTGGCAGCTGGCGGGGACGGGGGTCTGAGGACTCTGCGTGTGTCTCTGTCCTGGCCGGACCCGACTCCCTGTCTGAAAGGCCCCTGGTCAGCACTGGGGGTCCCGGGTCTCCTGGCCTGGCCTCTGGTGTCTGTGACGGGGGCACCCGCCACGAGAGCTCTCGGGTGGACCCTTCTCTGCAGAGTCTCCCGGGTTCCCAGGACTATTGCTGCTCAGTGTCTTGTGTGTTTCTCGCTGAGCCTCATTGAAATTGGGGCCTTACTGTGACACAGGCCGTGTGTTTCCAGGGACGCGGCGGGTCTGTGGCTGTTCGGGGCCGTGGCCACTGCCCAGAGCTCGCTCCCGGCGGGAGTCAGGAGGTGTCCAGCTCTCGTCTCCTCTGCGTGACGCGTCACGTCTCCTCCTTTCTCTCAAGGCTGTTTCCCTCTCCAAGGCCTTGGGGATCCGTGTAAACATGGTAACTGTGGTTTCTCTTTCCTGCACCCCCTCATCTGCATTTGTGGGTCTTGCCTCACGTCCACGCGTGGCTCTGGGGACAGGCCCTGGTGGACGGCACCCTCCCCCAGGCGGGCCGGGTCCTCCCTCTTCCGGGGCCTCTTTCATGCCCACGGACCGAGCCCCACATCGTCCCGGACCGTCCTGCTCCCTCTGACGTCATCCAGGACCCGTCTGTGAGGGCGTGACCGGGACTGGCCCCAGGCCCTTCTCCTGCCGTGGTGACGCCAGAGTCACCCCTGAGAGTGTGTGTTGGATCCTCTCCTGCCCCGACGGGCCCAGTTGTTATCTTGAGACAGTTTCGTTCCTGGAGTCTCTGGTGTCCCTCAGTGTCCTCGGGTCCTCTTCAGACGGGGAGATTCACGTGTCCTCTTCCTCCGGGTCCTGCTGGGCTTCTCCCTCCCTGACCGCCTGGGCTGGACGTCGGGCGGGGACGAGCCACAGAGGGGGTCGTGGCTCCTCCCTGCTCCGGGCCGTGGCGGGATCGTGTCAGCGTCTCACCCGAGTGTCCTGTGGGCTGAGGGGTGGACACGCGGTGTCCATCGTGTTTCCCTCTGTTGCATTTGTCCGCATTTTGTGGGATCACCCGCCCTAACTCTTCACCGTGTGGTCCCTGATCAAGCTGCTCGTCTCCGGGCCCATCTCTGCCCCTCGTGCTCGAAACGGGTCCCCCCGAGACTCTCTACACTCTGAACCGCAGGGCCCGAGTAGACGCCCTCGTCCCGGGACACCCGCTGCAGGGCCGCGAGCTGCGGCCCCGAACCCGCTTCTCCGCGTCTCAGCACAGACTCGGCTCCTCCCGGGGTGACGGCGGAGCCGGGAACGCAGCTCGCTCTGCTGGGTCTCTCGTCTGTTCTGCTCCCTGGGGTCTCTCCTTCACGCGGCTCTTTCTTGGGGCCGCCCTTGGAAGCCCGATTCCGGCCCAGGAGCCTCCTCGACCTGTGCCCGCCCCGCTGCAGGTGCCGCCATCAGGCGTGATCCAGGACCCCAGGACCCACATCCCTCCTCATGGCGGGAGGGCAGGACAGCCGGACAAGTATCTACCCTGCAGCCTCCCGGGCCCGGCTCTCCTGTGCTCGCACCTGGGGCCACCCCACACGCGATGGGAACAAGCTCAATAAGGCCTGACCAAGGCCCCGAGGGCTCAGGACTCTCCTTCCTCGTCTGCCCGGATCAGAGAAACTGCCCTGTGCCCTCCTGCCACGACAATGGGCAACTGAAACAATGACCTAGACGGCCAGGTAGAGGCAGAGGACACCCCAGGGTGACGGACAGAAGGGTCCATCCACCCAGTGGCCGTCCTGCCTCAGGGGCCCTAACTCTGGACAACTCTGGGCAGACACACAGGGCAGAGGGACTGAAATGGGATTTAACCACACACATCCCTGCTGTCACAGGTCCTGACACGCTCCCTGTGCACACCTGCCCACAGCTGAGATGCTGACCACACAACTGTCCTCACGTTTAATGGGACCTCACACTGTTCTCAGCACTGGCTGAGGATCCCCCACTCACCCCACAGTGCACACGGGTCTCATTCCCACAGGAGACCCCACAGAGCACATGTGAGCACCAGCACCTGGGCCTGCGTCACAGCAAGAAACAGGGGCTCAGGGTCACCAGCTTTGGCCCCTAATATGGAGCTGCTCATCGTGTGTCATGACCCCACGTCCCAGGACCCTCCCGGCTCCTCTGCCCAGACCCAGCCAGAGCTGCTATATAGCAGGACACATGCAAATAGGGCGTCC